CTTGAGCACTATAATTGTCTTTTAAACAATACGGTCATTTTCACTGAAAGATTGTTTATGCACTTGATTTTCAGAGAACAGGAAAGGGAATTAAACATTTTAGTTGTTCACGAGGGGAAAATACTTCTTGATTGAAGAAATGTGGTATGGACCGAATTCTTCTGGGTTTTCTAAACTACTAATGAAGTATGTCGATGATCCTAACACTCTGCTAATCTTGAATGGTCCTTCATACACTTCAAATAGTTTGGCAGTCTCGCCTTGCGCTAAATTTGAAAGAGGATGATTTCTTATGAGTACTAAATCACCTGGATGAAAATAAGTTGGATGTGATTTGTTATGGTTGTTGGCTATTTTATTACGCTTTTCTTTTATTATATGACATAATATCCCTTCTGTACTAACTTTGTCAAACTTTAATATTTTCTGTGAATCATTTATATTTATTATTATTTGTTCTTGATTGAAATCCATAACAGTTTTCCATAAGCTTAACGCGTCCATTCCGAATATAATAGGTCTTACTAAATTTGGTACAATCAACATTTGAATGTTCGTGATTTGATCATCTATGGTGATTGGCAGCATTATTATTTTTGATATTTTCTTTGATTTATCATTTACAGCGGTTTTAATACTTGTACCAACAACTGGTAGTTGTTCATGACGGCCAATGTTTATTTGGTTCTCAGAGTACCAATTTTCAGACATACACGTTACGTTTGAACCTGTATCAATAAGAGCATTTACAGAAATATTATTAATTTTAATTTTGATTTCTGGATAATGAATTGGAATTTGTTTTAATGAGCATTGTTCATTAAGACTTGGTTCTTCTGTAAGTAGGAATTCTCGGTCACAATAGATATTACATATAGTTTGAGCGTCTTCGTCATTTGGTTTATAATTATTAATTTGCCTACTTAATCCGATTTTGTTAATATTTGGCACTGAAGATCTTTGTTCATTTAATTTAGATTCTGATGTTGATTGTAGGCAACTATTATCGACAGTGCCTAACAGTTTAAAGGCTCCTTATATTCGTTAGGAGTTGTTGGGGAAATATTTGGTTGATTTGGACTTCGTTCGATAGTCATGTGGCATATTTGTTTTTGTTCATGGGTAGGATATCGCCTTCCGTCATTTTGATTAACGTGGTAATTGGGTTTGGAACTTGTCTGGTTATTCGCTGGTGGTTGATAATTATTTGTCCTACGGTCGTTATATCTATTATAAGGGTGATCATTTGGTTGAGGTGCTGTCCGGTAGTATTGGTTCTTTGGAACATAGGCTCTATTATCGTAACGGTTTCGATTTGAATCTGATCCCCTCCATTCTTTCTTATGTGGATCATTATAATCTTCATTTCTTCGTGATTGCTCGTTGAATTTGTTTTGCGGATTTTGATGTAAGTTTGAGATGTATGGTTTATGTTGATTTTCCTTCTGTTGATCTTTGATGTCTTCCCGTAAAAGTAAGGCTTCAAACCCTTGGATAGTAGTTATATTTTGTACTCGTCGTGCATTCTGGATTAGTTCTTCGAAATGTTCGCACAGGCAATCCACTATTTCTTCTTCATCAAGGGGTGGTGTCAATGATTGTAGTGTGAGGACACGTTCGACAAAATATTCAGATCGTGAGAGATTACCATTGTTACGATATTTTTCAGATTCCAGTCTTTGTCTGATTCCTCGTTGTGTGTCTTTATTCCAGTATTTGCTTTCGAACATGTTTTGGAAACATTCCCAATTACTTACGTCACGTTTCACTAGGTTAAACCAACGTGCAGCGTGATTTTCTAGGCTATTTTCAATAACGGCAGTTAAAAATTCAACATCGTCATCGTTTGGATTCTTTTTAAGGAGACTTTTCTTGTAATATTTAAATAATTTGGCAATGAACTCTTTAGGGTTATGTCCTCTACCATTGAATTTTGGTAATGTCATATCTGACACGATTCCGGAGTTTCCGTTACATGTAACATAGATATGTTGAGGGGACGATGTTACTTGTCCATGTTTAGTGATATTTTGTTTTATTTTAATAATCTCCTCACTTTGTTTTTGTAGATTCTGTTGGATAGCTGAAATTTCTTGACCTTGATTTTTAATAACGATCAGTGAATTTTGTATTTCATGGGCATTTTGTTTTGATTTTGCTGTTATAAGTTGTTCATGTTCCAACCTGAATTGGTTTATCTGTGAATGAATATCATATTTTTGTTTTTGTATTTCCATATTCACTTTTTCAAGAGTTTGAGAATTATTTTGGATTATCATGGACTTCATTTCGGATTTTTGTTCTTCTAAGTCTTGGATTAAATTTTCACGTATTTTGGTATCACATTCATATATTTCCGCTTTAAACGTTTCTTTCATTGTAAGGATCTCTTTGGAATTTTGAATCTGAGTTATTTGTATCTGATCCATTTCCTTACGCATGTTTTCTTGGTTAGTTTTAACAGAGGTGATTTTTTCTTCAAGGGAAATCTGGCACTGTTTAATTTCACGCTGAATTTCTGATTTTAAATTATCATTTTGTAATTTTATTTCTGACATTTCAGATTGCATTTCTAATTTTAATGTGTCGTGTTGTGAAATTATTAATGCATTATTCTGTTGAACCATTCGCATTAATTGAAGAATAGAATCATTCATATTTATTTCACTCGCAGCTGTTAGAGGCAGTGATGCGATGTCTGTGACTCCAGTCGTATGTTCATTCGATGTCAGTGTGGTGGCTTTCATGGTGACGTCACTCACATCAGCTGATTTGTCTGTCTGTTGTTGTGACGATTCATCTCCGCCGTTCTTCTTATCCTCTATGTCAAGTCCTTCTGCTGTGTCCAGTTCTCGTTCCACCATTCCCTGTGTTCCCATTGGCTGGTGTGAATTCGATGCGGATGTCATGGCGGCGTTGTCTTGTGCGTCTGCTGTGTTGTCTGTTCTAGTTCTAGTAGTGACGCTTTGTGTATGACTGTGTTCTTGTAGATCGTGTCCTTCGTTGTGCTGTGTGTTCATGTCGTTTGATTGTATGTTGTTTACGGTGTTCACAAAATTATCTTGCTTATTAGCATTTGCTAATTCGCCACAATTATCGTCTGGGTCTGATTCACTGTCGGTATTGTAAGGCAAATTATTTTCGGCTGCCTTCCACGATAACTTCGGCTTTGGTCGTAAATTGTACCTTTTGTCATCGTCACTCATATTGATTAAATGATTATTCCCTGTGTTGTTGTATATATTTTTTATTTGTGTATTTGAAGGTTTGTTAGTTGTGTGTTAATTTGGTTACTAGGGCCTATCTTAAATTGTGTAGGTTAATCGTAGGTTAGGCCTAGATCAGAATTTTCAATAGCCCACTCGTTGTGACGCCATTTTGCAACCTACTCCTCTTTATTAATGAATTTCAAAATATGAATTTACTTAAAATAGATAATAAAATTCCCATAAAGTTACAATAAAATATATTTAGGTTCTATAGCTATTAACAATCTCATTGGGCTAGGCTATGACAGTGAAATATATTTTGGTCTAGGTTTTTGATGGGCTAGGCTAGATAACAATTTGGAGAGCAAATTATCTTAAATCTAGGGGTTGGTTCGTGCCGGGTATGAAATTCTGATAGGCTAATTAACTTAATTTATACAGTACTAAAATAGGCTAAATAATATGAGATAGGCTAATATTGAGAATAAAAAAATTTAGGCTATAAGTTCTTAATTTGAAAGTCACTTGAATTTAGTCAATTCACAATGTGGTGGTTGAAAATTGATGATGAGTTTTTTTAAAGTGGTAATTGAGGTTGATATTACCAATTTTGTTGAATAGTGATTTTCTTCTTTCTTTATGTCTCTTTATATTCAATATTTATTTGTATTCTGAATGTTAATTTTAACTTTTGAATATTTAAATCACTGGAGACTTGGCTCCCATTCCATCTCTCTCTATATCTTCCACCACCAGCACATTTTCTTCCTTTTCTTTCTTTCCTTCCAACAATTACTTCACACCTGGACACTGGACAGTACAAAAGAAATATTTCCTACCTAGACACCATTTAATTTTAGAATATTATTTTTGAATATAGTTTTTCTTCTTCACTAATTTATATTTCATTAAATTTAAATATTCTTTTTGAAAATACAGTAATTAATAAATATTGAAAGTAATTTAGCTACAATTCACATATGAGTACATTCATGTTTTATCTCAAAGCACATCAAAATAAACGTCTTTTTACTAGTAGAATACAACACCATAGAATTTAGCTCAAACGGAAAACCGAGTCAAAAATGGCACTCATTCAAAAATATCTTGAATCTGTCATTTTGAAGGTTTGAACGGTTGCAATTTTTTACTCAATTGTTCTTTTATGCTAAAATTTCCTGAATTGTATTCTACTAACTAAGACCTTTAATTCGATGTGCAATTGACCTATTCGTACGTTTATGATTTTATTCCGACTTCTAGCGGGCTAGGCAGTAGCGTATTGCAGTCAAATGCAAATTCAATACATGTTTGAACAGCTGTAATTTTTCTCTCAATTGTTCGTTTGAGTTTGGGTTTGCAGAAATGTATTTTACCAACAAAGGACTTTTATTTGATGTGCATATCAACCTATGCTCATATTTAAGATTTTCTTATTACTCCTAATAAACCTTCACCCTGAGTTGGTAGCGCATCTCTGAATAATGTGTTAAATTGATTTTAATGCCCATTAACAATGTACTAAGTTTTGAAACTCTATCTTTTCTTTATACCACCCAACTCTTGTTGATTAGTAAGTCACAATAAACCTGTCCTTTTTTAGTTATCTCCTGAACTGAGTAAACTTAATGACGAAAGTACTGGGCAAATTAAATGTTGAGAAATGAGCTGTTTTGCAAATGAATTTAGGTGAAAAAAATGCCACGTTGTTTGTATTTTTTTAAATCGAAGTAGATTTTTAAACGCTTGCATAGTAGTCTTGTTCATAATCACTTGTTGATGTTGGTCCAGGGCGCTGCACGGCGAGGACGGCGTGGTGGAGGAGGAGAGGTGGGTGATCCTACCACCAACGGAGGCTCAGTAGCGCACACCAAGAAGCTCCGGTTCCAGCTGGCCAAGGAACGCAAGGCGTCCACCACGCTGGGCATCATCATGAGTGCATTCACCATCTGTTGGCTTCCATTCTTTGTGTTGGCCCTGGTGCGACCCTTCTTGTCTGATCCAGATGCTATCCCTTCCTCTCTCTCCAGCCTCTTCCTGTGGCTAGGCTACGCCAACTCCCTCCTCAACCCCGTCATCTACGCCACTCTCAACCGAGACTTCCGGAGACCCTTCCAACAAATTCTGTACTTCCGGTGTGGCTCTCTGAACCACATGATGCGTGAGGAATTCTACCACTCTCAGTACGGGGACCCCGAACCCCAGCACCAGTACTGTGTGGTTGGAGGAAGCCCTGATCGAGTAACAGAGCACCAGCTGGCGGACGAGGTCGGCCCGGAAGACAGGAAAGGAACTGAGTCGTTTCTATGATGTACAGTGCCAGACACGTTCGGACTTGCTGTAAGACATTGAGACGACGCGTAAATAAATGTAAAATATGTTGTAAATGTGTCGATTGTACATAGACTATAATGTTGAATGTGAATTAAGATTATATTACTCGTAAAACTTACGGCCTATGAGAATATTACAAGAAAACACAAATAATGATCGATGTTTTTTATCAGTTTAATGTAACCCATATCAACTCTATTCATGTTCAAATTCTTTCATAAAGTAATGCAACGTTGTTAGATGTTTACAAAGTGAAACACTATGATTTCGTGTTTTTTATTACAATTACACCATGTCTACCTAATTAAAAGTATTCCACGTTTATTTCTAGTCAAGTTTTAAATTTAAGAGGTTCGACTACTGTACCAGGAAAAGATACATGCTGTTTAGCATTTCTTACATATAATGAATTTTAAAGAGGGCATTATAGTTAAAATGTGCTTGATGTTAAGTTCCGTCATTAATTAAATTTCAAAAATGTAAAATGTAATTTTGTAATAATATACGATAATGTACGATAAGCAATAATATGATGTGTTTTAGACTCGTCCGTCGTAATTATTGTGTCAGTTAATATTATTTATCCTAGTCTTTGTAGAACCTTGTTTTAGTTCAGTTAGATATTATTTGTAATCATGAGAAAACAACATAGTACAAAAATAAAACTTATTAATTACCTACAATAAAAAAAAATATTTGAAACACTTGTAAATTCTAAATTGTTTTGATTGTTTAAACATATAATGTATTATAATTTTTACCTTTTAACTTAAACAACAAAAGACCTTAATTTTTACGTTTACTGTATAACTTCTCAAGCTGCAAGCACAAAGAATCAGCTTCACTTAGGACCTACACAAAGTACGATATTTTCATTTCCCTTAACAATACTGTATTCTGTCGGTCTAGTTTCATTGATGTTATTTTCCATGTGATGATGTACAAGATAATGAGACCTTTTGTGAAACAAATACAATAAACAATCACTAGGAATTGCTTCAATTTTATAAATTTATATAGCTATTATTTTTATACACAAGACTACTAGAGTTGATTTCAACTATGTTGGCTTGGATAAAAACAGTTTTACACGAAAATAAATAAAAATTACTCTTTCCAAAAGGGATTAGATTCTTAAAAAAAGTGTAACACTAAATGTTCTAAAAGTCAGTTTTGGTTTCGTATAGCCTAAAGAATAATTTATTAATAGGTCTTTAATAGCGTCGATATCATTTAAAAAATTGTGTGTATTAAAATACAAGTTTTCTTCAAATATTCTTACAATAATTGCTGATTATATGTAATGGATATAAACAAATTAGGTTAAAGCTTAAACGAAGATCTGGAATAACACATTCTACTTCGTATTATTTACCAAGGATACTAGTTTGAAATTGTTGTTTGTAGGGATGTTCGATGGATGTTCTCTTAAATAGACAGACTTAGTACTAATTAATACTAATAGAAATCAAAATGTTCATCCATATTACGACATCGAATTGATACATATTTTATTTTATTTTATTAGATATGTCATATAACTGTATATAATGCAATGTATATAAAGTTCTTGGTGTATTTTGTAAATGAAATAAATCTTAAGCAATTTGAATGTATAAATTAAAATTAAATAATGCAGAGACCTAAAACTGTGTTTACATGTTTTTTTTCTCCTTAAAACCCGTTCCTTTAAAACAGACAATCGTATAGTTATCAGTGAAAATGTTTTTCTATTTTTAACAATACATCTAAAAAAGTGCATTTACACCTAAGGTGTTCAAGACGTTTGAATGGTGTAACACCAAACTCTGCAATGTATTAGGCTTGTAGTGCTCCCCATTAGTAAACTGTAGTAACAAAAAAATTACAGAAAGCACATGGAATATTAAAGTTCAAATTGTCTACAATCTAGCTCTAGTTAGATTTATAAAATGCAGTAGCCTAAATACTTAATGTGTTCTAAAATCAGACGATGATATATACTAAATTCATTTATTTGATCTTAAATTAAATTTCTTTCGTTACACAACACATTGTCCCTCACAATTGACAACATGCCAGTATGTTTGTTTTGATTTGACCTCAAAAATTGACATGTGAACATTGAACACATGATCGCACCACCAATGTATATAGCCATTAACCTAACACCATCGATGTTAGGTTATATCATTGACTTAGTCAAAGGTTATATACATCGATGGATCGCACTCACTACAACCTACAGCCAAAAAGGTTCATCCGCAAAGATATTCCACCATACCTCAACCGCTTCTAGCTAAAAAAAATCCAACTGTACATGTTTATGGTTGAGTTTTCGACCACTGGACGACCTCTAGTTAGGCATAACTCTCTGTAATACAATTAATTATCTATTGACTTAGACTAACCAAGATTAAATATCTAGTAAGTATAATAGAATTTTTAGTTAAGGTAGTAATTATTAATTTAAGGCTAACGATGCTGAACATATAATGCCTTATATTACCTTGTCATACTTCATTATATTTCACCACCTTTACTTGCCTTGAAGTTCTTGTACAATCCCATGTCTAATAATGCTTTTAACAATGCCAAAGATTTTCAGCACGGTTTTCATCATAAAAGACTTCTGAAAACAAAATTCTCAAGTATTATCAATTATTGAAAAGCATACAATATTGAAAATTACACAGTTCATTCCCTACGTCTCTACGACTTCTGTTGAGTAAACAATTTAATTTTTTTATTTAAACAATTAACAATTAAACGATCATTAATCTAAACCATTTGTTTAATCCATCAGCTGGCTAACTTTTTTTTAATTTACATTTTCAGTTAGGCTAGTTTAGTTATATTTAGTATATTGCAAATATTATAGTAGTAAGAGGCAATTTAGGTTGGTATGGCGAGGAGAAAAAGTTTTTGCATGTAATATCATAAGTTAAAATTATATTTGTAAAAAAGAATTAATTTCCTAAAATCTATTTTGAGTGTAAAAAAATAACGAACATGTTGATCGAGAGTAGCAAGAAATTAAGAGGCTGACAATGCCGCTTCGTGTAGAATGAGAGTGATGATCAATACATATCAGTGAAACAGGTTCATGAAATGCACTATTTTGGTATAAAAAAATTTATTGGTCACTTGACACTTTCACTTTTAACAGTTAGAAAGTATGTTATCCAGATAATACTTTTCCACAATAGTAAGCTGCAGAGAGTTTCTGTCAACAGATCCATCCAGCATCAAATTAGAGCCTGGGATTGCAAGATTAGTTTTTATTTTATTTTAAAGGTGGCTCCAGTACACAAAAAATAATTTTAATGCTAACAAAATCATATTAAGTATGTCGGCTTTACTATACATTTTTTATCCTACATGTGTTGGGTTTTTTAGAAGCAAAGAAACTGCCACATTTTTTTTTATTTTTTGGGTTCGTACTTCTGTACTGTTCGTTTAACTCCTTTATATTCAACTATAATCAATAATTACTGTTGAATATACTCCCAACTATTATTTATACAATGGTTTGGTTAAGGATATAAAAAATAATTAACTATGTATTACCTATGTCAATATATTAAACGCTTTTAATCACTTGCAATATTACCGTCAGTAGTTAAGTTTTTGGTTTATAGAACATAAACTTGATAGCACGATTAAAACGCACAAAACCAAACACAAATACTGTACTAACATGCTACTAACCTGCATAGGTTTGTAGGCTTACATTGTGTGCATTTTATAAATGTCAAGGGTTGGTTTGTACATGACTGAGCCAGGCCGTGTGGTATGTTTAAGGTTAATAGCTTGAAACACGCATCACCTCCTCTGGCTGCAGGCCAGATCGTGTATGACATTTGGTGTTATGTGACTATTTCAATGTATAAGGAAATAGTATTCAGTTCAGAATCTAAATGTGTTGACTAAATGACAGTTACTAATTTGAACTAACGACAACTATTAAATTACGACACTATTTGCTAAATAACTTGATTTTGATTTAATATTTTACGTTTCCATTAGTAAAGGTTGAGAATTGTACTGAGATCAATATTGCGGAAACTTTTTTTCTTAAAAGAATAACACATTAGAATATTCCATTGTTGTAAAGGGGGTTAATTTAGGTTTAAAATCAATTGCTTGATAATCTTTTTAAATTTAATTTAATTTTGACTATAACAATTTGTTTTTATTTATTTTTTTTGAAAGGGGTTGGCGGCATCTTTTAACCTTGCATTTGCCTGTCCACATAGACTACAGATCTGTGTGTGGAACGTATCCAGCAAAGCAAGAGGTGAGCCGGTACAGTACAAAGGTAAACTCTACTGATAAAATGATCGTGGCAGTAACCAGGATCCGAACCCACGACATCGCTGCCTTGGGCCCAGAGTCCGTGACGCTACCAACTGAGCCACCGACTCACCTACTTAAACTCATTAAATACTATTCCAAAAAAATCTTCTTTTCGTGTTAGCTTTGATCCAGTTTTAGGTAAGTCAATTTTAAATTAAGAATGCTTTTTTTGAATTTTATTATATTAAATGTTGGTTGTGTAACTATGAAAAATCAACAAGAGCTCTCTAGCAGAAAGTTTGTTCATAATGTAATTTATTCGTTGTCCGTCTCCAGGAGAGTGCTTCTACATTACATTTACTCTGCATTATCCACTCACTGATTGCAAACAATTATGGTGTTTTATCTTTTAATGAACAAAACTAGTGATTTTATTAAAACGACTATAAAATGACGTATTTTATCATGAAATGTTATCACTAATTCAATCCTATTAACTACTAACGAAATTGAAAAATCTGCCTGTAAATGCCTAAAATATTTTTCATTTTTATGTGCATCTATAAAACAACTAAGACCACGCCGTAACGAAAACGCATCGCACGGTGCGGCCCAACAATGCAACCATAAATTATAATAAAATTAATAAACACGATCTCACAAAAACACAAAATTCTTATTCTTTATGAGCCAATCTTTACAGCCTAAGCACTGTTGGATTAGTTCTCACACTCCCTAAAACATTATGCCTTGGCGCTTTTTAGTGGAATAACTTTAGTCTAGGCATATTAGGAAAGTTAGCGGAAAGTTTAGGTACAGTCCTAATCATCACTTTTTTATGTTTTTTTGGGTCGCTGAACACGAATATGAGGTTTGCTTACAGATATTATACCCGGAACAATGTTTATTTTGTAAAAAAACCTAAAAATTTGGGCACTTTTTTAGGTTTTTGGAAAAAATCTCGGTATTTGTTTTTGAGAAGAACTTGTTTTGTAAAATTAAAGAGGAAATAAATTACTACAAGTTTCCTATATAATATTTGTTTCTATGACGAACCGTTACGCCACTAGAGCAGGCTAAAAATGGCCAGAAGAACAAAAAATTAAAACAATCGCTAAATGCTGCCGTTTTACATTAGGTTTCCATGGAAACAACCCATGTTTCGATAATTTTAACTATTTATTCATGATAATAATCTAAAACACTTAAAAATAAACAAACTAGTAGGTCCACTGACCACTAGCCTCCACCTTAAAGAAATATCCGTCTTTTAAAATTAAATTGGAGAAAATGGTGACAATCTTTTTTTTTATAATAGTAATAACCTCATTAATAGAAATAGGTTGGTTGGTAGGATCATGTAAATCACTCTCTTCGGGTTCAATTGAAGGTTGGCATTCCATCCATCCTTTTTTTCCTATATAATAATTGTTTCTATGCCGAACTGTTACGCCACTAGAGCACGCTAAAATTGGTCAGAAGAACAAAAAATGAAAATAACCCTAACCGTTTTACAAAGGTTTTACATTAGGTTTAACTATTTATTCATGATAATGAACTGAAACACACTTGATATACCTCTGCCAAGATGTATGACTGGCTGCTGGAACATTTCCCGTTCCCACAAAACCCCAATTTATTTTCTCTCAGCACAGGGATGTTGCTGGCCAAGGGGTTGACTGCTGTAGTGTTTAATAAAAAGGATGAAAGACATTGAAAGAGTTGTAGATAACTTTAACTTTGGTAACGTCAAACTCAAACGAGCAGACCGTGTCCAGTCACTTGCCATAATAAACAACGCGATGAAAGTAGGGAATTCCTACCCGTAAACCCCACCACATTGTTTCAACGTATCAGCGTCGCTAAGAATTCTGATGAAAAACTAAAACACGTCTTATCCTACGACCTGGGTCCATACTCTTTCTCATTGTTTGATAATAAAGGTTTGCGCAAGGAACCAAATCCAATCTTTATAGGTCTAAAGCACTTGTCCCCATTGAAAACAAGCACTTCCATAGTCAAGTGCAGTATGTTACTGATGGTGGGTTCCTACTACACAAAGGTTATGGCCACATCATCAACCTTTTTCTAAAATATGTAACAGATACACTTACAACATTATAACCAAATAGAGGGCTCAGACAAGTTGTTTTTGACGGCTACCCTGAATTGTTGTGCAAGGTGGAACAAAAAGTTCCAAACGACTGAAAAGAGCAATAACAACTATTTCTGTAGACATTCTCTTCGATGAAACTATGACCCCAACCACAACGAAAAAAAATCTCCTAGCCAACCCTAATAACAAGGAAAGACTTATTTCCATGATAACAAGTAAGATGATCTCTTAAAAAAT